ACAAGCACAAAAATCCTTTAAAGTGCTCTTAAAAACTAACATCTTTTGACGCTTATCAAGTACCATCCTTCAACTAAATAGAGATTTTACCTTTTCATTTTCCTAAAATTGGCACCTTTGATTTATTGCTAAATGTCACTTTAGCCAGATTGATTCATCTAGTTTAGAAAACAATTCTTTCTCCAACACATATGGTTATTATAACTAGTACCCAAGAACCATATGTTTTCATCTGCATAAAAACATCCTCCTTTGATATTCTAATCTGGGACAACTAAAAGACTGAGCCATTCGGTTACTTTCACAGTCACCCTCTATTACTAGGAAAAAAGTAAGGTTTCAGAACTCTTAACAGAGTTTTCAACAATACAACGTTTGCTGGATTCCCATGATTGTCTTCATTATACCAGCAATATGCAATCTTGTGCTCATGCTTGCCACATAGGAATGAAATTGAAATTAACCTTGTTTGGTTTTACCTCCACCTCTTCCTTGGTTGGAGTTACCATGTCCTCTTCCTCTAGATCCACATCTTCCCATTTCACAACCTCTGCTAGATCCTCCACCTCTTTGATTAGAGCCAGTCGTGTTAAAGCCTTAAAGGTGACTTGGCTCTTCAACGCTTCTTCTGCTAGTGGCTCCTATTTTGACTCAATCCTGTCAATATGACTTTCTATTGTACCTTTTAGCTTTGCAACTAATAAGAGCTCGATTTTATGTGACTCTATTATTGAAGCCACCACATGGTCATACTTCATTGGCATAGTTCATAGAACTTTTTTAACCACTGCACCATCTTCAATAGTGTCTCCAAGTAACCTCATCTTATTCACCATATTAATAAGACAAGAGAAATACATATCTACTATTTATGTAGAGGTCATCTTACATCGATCATACAACCTTCTCAATGATTGCAACTTGCACTTCTGTGCCTGATCAAGTTCTTTGTGTAACACCTTTCAGATATTCCAGCAAGTTTCCTTTGTTGTTTTAACACCAACTAACTGCCTTAAAATGGAGTAATCAACCCCTTGCTGAATCTATCCCAAGGCTAATTCATCTCACATTCTCACCGTATAGTGGCGGCATAAGCTCTATCTAGTAGACCGGGGTCAACAAACTTCCAAAGATTTTAACCTTTCAAATTTGTGGTCATCATAATTTGTCAATAATTATATTGTAATTGAGTTTCCCATTCAATTTGGACCTGACCTTACAATATTGAATTTTGTTGCTGTATCTTACTACGGAGAATATCTTGGGGTTAAAAGATTGACTAGCTTTGATACTAAATGTTAGATATATTAAAATATAATATATCTGTATATAATTTAACAATGCTTATTGCTTCTATAATAATACTCCCTCCGTCCCATTTTATGTGTTTAGTTCGGTTAATGAGGCTTGAGTGAAGTTATTTTTAATCTAATTTTTCATAATATTAAGTTTAGTATTAGTATACAAAATTTATATATTTAGAAACTACACTAAAATTACTATTAAACACAAAAAATCAAATTTAAAAATAGTGAAAAATACTAAAGATAATAAGCAAAGAAGAAAGAGTTGGTATGACCAATGAATAGTAAGTAAGACAGATAAAATGGGACAGATGGAGTATAATAAAATGCTTTACAATAAAATCTATTTATAGTAAAAGAAATAACAAGTTATAGCTAAAAGGAAAAAGTGTCAAATAGGTCATCGAACTATTGTAACAGGCGTTTGGTTGGAGCTGAGGGGGGAATTACGTGGGAAAAGAATTGCAATTCCATGGGAGATGAATTACTGGGAATAAAGTATGAATTTAAATTCCAGTGTTTGGTTTACAGGAATAGAATTACTGGGAATTTCAATTCCAATGTTTGGTATACATGGGAATTGAAAGGAAATAAGTAGTATAAAGTCCAAAATACCCATTGTTGTTGTGGTATTAATTTTAGATTAAAAAAAAGGGAGGGATAATTTTGTCTCATCACTAGCTTTTTTTCTTCCTAAAATCACAGGAATTAAAATCTCAGGGGGACATGAGATTTTAATTCCATGAAAATGGGGGAATTGCAATTCCTTCCAACCAAACAAAGAAATTTTATGGCCTTTGAAATTAGGTGGGAATTAAGTGGAAAGAGAATTTAAATTCCCTCCAACCAAACGTCCTGTTAGTGTTTGTGCGCAAATTATGCAATGGAAACGTGTTCACCAACGGCGTTTTGCATTCTATGTTCAGATTATGAATTTGCATTTATTAAATTATGAATTTTCTGTTATGAGATTATGAATTTACAGTTATGTAATTATGAATTTTCTGTAAATTCATAATCTCATAACAAAAAATTCATAATTTCATAACAGAAAATTCATAATCTCATAAAAGAAAAACATTTATTAAATTATGAATTTTCTGTTATGAGATTATGAATTTACAGTTATGTAGTTATGAATTTTCTGTAAATTCATAATCTCATAACAGAAAATTCATAATCTCATAAAAGAAAATTCATAATTTCATAACTGCACATTCATAAATCCATGCCTGCACATTCATAATTTATGAGTGTTGAAGAAGCTTGCGCGAAGAGGAAGTGAAACCGCGAAATGTGAAAATGAAGAAGAAAAGTCGTGCTGTTAATTAAAAAAAAAAGATTGGTGGAAGATAACGGTGCTACTTACGGGCGCCGTTACCGTTTGGGACCGGTGTTCACCATGGATGGTGAACACGGTTCCATGGCATAACGATGGGTGTTTGTGTAATTGGGCCATCGAACAAAAAAAAGTATGCAATTAAACCATTCAACTCTATAAATTTGTGCAAATAGCATTTTTAGCAGGTTGCTTTCAGATTAAGCATGTAATATAAATGACTTGGCATCTTATGTGGCGATTTTTAATATTTAAATTAATTTACTATGAATTTAATATTAAATCAAATTAATTGTACACTTACCTGATTAACCTGAAAGCAACCTGCTAACAATTCTATTTGCATAAATTTATAGAGTTGAATGGTTTAATTGTACACTTTTTTTTGTTCGATGGCTCAATTGCACAAATACTAATAATTTGATAACCTATTTGACACTTTTTCCTAGCTAAAGATACCTAAGCCACATCCCAGTTACTCATCCATGTATGGAATTCTAACATTTTTTTTTTTTTTTTTTGCCTTGACTTGGTTTTATTAATATTAATCATACTCATTATTATAACACTTTTGAGCCTTTTAATTGCATGAATGACTTGACAGGAGCAAGTCACTCAAGTCTACAATTCAGCAAGAGGGGTATGGTGGGGACCAGTGTGAAAGTGAAATCCCGATAGGCCGGCCATAGCCATATATAGTGCCATATAAGTTTGGGAAGAAGAATATATAGTGCCATATACAATCATACATAATAAAACAAAACGGTTTTCGCACCTGCTGTCCAATTCAAAACCCCGAACTTATCCAGACTGGTTTTTGCAATTACCTTAATTACCCCCAACGACCCAGTCCCAAGTCATCGCGAAATGCCCCTGCCCCTGCCCATTTTGGTCCACTCACATACTATATCACTCCCCTCATCATTCTTATTGCTCTCGAGATGTCTTGTTGTGTTGTAAAGAAAAAATATCGCAAATTATTCTATGGACCGCGCGAGTTCACATTGATCTAAATATTTACAATTTATATACTAAATATTCATAATTTGTATAGAGTTAATACCCAAATCGTCCTCGACTATAGTGATTTTTCTCAATTTCGTCCTAAACGACTTTGGTGACCTAATATCATCCCAGACTTTTGTGTTTCGCTCAATTTAGTCCTCCATTTGTTATTCCATCAAATTGGTGTTAAATAAAGGGACAATTCAGTAATGTTAATATTGATCTCTCTTTACTTTCAACTTGTGAAGTGCGAAATTCTTTTTTCTTGTACGAATTACACCCAGAATTACTCCCGGACGTGCAAATCAAATTTTATATTCGCAGTTTTAGGAGTAATTCTGGGAGTAATTCATAAAAAAAAAAAAAGATTTCGCAATTCATATGTCTATGAGTAAAGAGATGCCAATATTAAAATTACTGAATTGTTTATTTATTTAACACCAAATGGACAGAATAACAAATGAGGGACTAAATTGAGCAAAAACACAAAAGCCTGGGACTAAATTGAGCGAAACGCAAAAGTCTGGGACGATATTAGGTCACCAAAGTCGTTTAGGACGAAATTGAGAAAAACCACTATAGTCGAGGACGATTTTGGGTATTAACTCAATTTGTATATATTACGAATATACAATATCAACATATATGTAATTAATTGATAACTTTGTTTGTATTCAAAAGTTTCTTTCAAATACTGCAGTCACATCATATTAATAGATTAGGATTTGATGACATGTATTGTATTCACAAATTCCTTCTACAGTTCTTACATGTTTTGACTTAGAAACAAAATTTATATTCTAGAAGTTCATGATTTAACATCAAAAATATACAATTTATACATCGTTTAGGACCATAGTCCACCTTGCAAGCTGGACCCTGGTCCATGGTATAACAACTCGAAAAATACTACATGGATTCCAAAAATTTACTTTCAATTTTTGTTTTTTGGTGTACCCAGGGTGTTCACTATCGGACACAGTGACTAATCCCTCTTGCTGAATTGTAGGCACTTCTTTTGGGTGTGACAACGGTTAAGGATGGATGAGTCTCTTTCACTCAACGTAACCACACCCCTTCCAAAAATTTACTTTCAATTTTTACTCTCACTTGTGTTCAAATTTGATTGGAAAAAAACTAGCTTGGTTGGCGTGAGTGGCCGTGCACTCTTGTCCCTTAAGAGAGGTCGAGAGTTCGAATCACCTCTCGTATGGAGAATCAATCTGGCCAACACTGTGCCCCGTAATTGGGCTGACCCGGTGCGAACGGGGATTAGTATGAGTATGGTACGAACTTAAAAGGGCCTCCTACGGTTAAGGTCTGCTCAGGCCATCTAAAAAAAAAGGAATGGATAAACATCATGACTCCCTATTAAATTAAGCAATCAAAGCATACCAGATCATAGAGCGTAAAAATGGGAAATACATGTAAAATTACTCGTTTGCAAATATATATTTTTTCATTATCTTCTAAAAAGAGTTAATTCCCAAAATGGTCCTCTGACTGTGGCCTTTTCTCAAATTGGTTCCTTGACTTTTAATCGCACCCAAAGTGGTCCCCCGACTATTGAATTTTAAGCCAAAATGGTCTTCCGTTAGTTTTGACGTTAAGTGGGTGTTAAAAAGAGGGATAAAACTGGTAATTCAGGGTTTTCACTATAGTCAAAGGACTACTTTGGGTGCAATTGAAAGTTAAAGGACCAATTTGAAAAAAGTCCATAATTAGATGGCCATTTTGAGAATTTTTATTTTCTAAATAAACAATCTTTTTACTTTAATTGTTACCTAGAATTTTTTTTTTTAAAAAATAACTTAGAATAATAATTTTGATTATTAGCCTAGTACTTATATATAGTTGTACAAACTAACATTAACTTACGATAAACTCTTTATTATTCAGGAATGCTTGACATTATGTATTTGGATTTTGATTTTCTATGATCATAAATAGACATAGGCATATATATAATGACAAAATTATTGTGAAAAATTACAACCAAATGGACAATAGACATAAACCATTGCTTATTTATTTATTATTATTTTTTAAAAAAGGCAACAGTTAAATACAAACGGATAAGAAAGATAAAAAAAATCATTGTCTATTACAAAAAGACAATATTGGTTTATAGGGGCAAAACAAAAAATGTCGATCAGTGGAGGCGAAAAATTTTGTTAAAAAAAAAAAAATTCCAAAACGTGATAAAAAAATATTTATAATAAAATATATGAAATGGTTGGAATAAATTGTATATCATCGCTATTAATATTATATTCATAAATATTTTTAATTTAATTATATCAACTTTAAGTATTTTATATTAATTTAGATACGATAATACACAATTGAAATTTTTAGATTATATTAACTAGATAGTTCAAAAAAATGAAATTTTCTTTTTAAATATTTTTCATAATTGAATTACAAAACATATTTTATATCAATTAATTAATCAATTTGACTAATTTTTACCACATGTAACATATTAAATTAAAGTGCACTAGGGAAGGATAAAATCAATATAAAAAGTTACAAATGTATTAATCGAAATTAATGTTAGTTTGTACAACTATATATAAGTACTAGGCTAATAATCAAAATTATTATTCTAAGTTATTTGTTAAAAAAATAATTTTCTAGGTATCAATTAAAGTAAAAAAGATTGTTTATTTAGAAATTGAAAATAAGTACAAGATCAACCCCTTTTAATCACAATGAATACAAAATCATGTTTGAACTATAAAGAGAAAATTCTCAAAATGGTCTCCCTGACTATGGTATTTTCTCAAATTGGTCCTTTGATTTTTAATTGCCCCTAAAGTAGTCATCTGACTATAGCGAAAGCCCTGAATTACCAGTTTTACCCCTCATTTTAACACCCACTTAACACCAAAAATAACGGAGGACCATTTTGGCTTAAAATTCAATAGTCGAAGGACTACTACCTTTGGGTGCAAATAAAAATTAAGGAACCAATTTGAGAAAAGGTCATAGTCGAAGGACCATTTTGGGAATTAAATCGTCTAAAAATTATTGCAAATTTGTTATTTGTAAGAGATTAACTACTGTATTGTTGTCGATTTGTAAAATTATTCTCCATTTATCACATTTATCTATCATACTTACTAATAATTGGTTTTTTTGAATTTTTTTTTTTGCTTCATTAAAAGTAGGCCGAAATAACATCCGATGGGAGTAGATCCCAATACATAGTTGCAGTTTGCTGATAAGCCGTAGTAGCTAAAGCATGAGCTAAATGGTTCTCTACTCTAGGAATAAAATGAAACGAACAGGACTGAAACGAAGATGCAATAAACCTGCAAGTGTCAATGGCATAGCCTAGATATGTGCGCAGCACAATAGTTGGTGTAGTAAGATAACGATGTAGTGTGAGGCAGTCCGTATAAACCTTAACGTTCTGCTCACCCCGATCCTTCAACCATGATAGAGCTTCTTTACATGCGAGCGCCTCTGCCATAAGTGGCGAGGAGCATCCTTGTAGTGGTCCACTGAATGCCGAAACATATCCCTCGTCCATGTCTAGTAAGAGTACCCCCAAAGCAGCTTGTCCTGTCTCCTGCAAATACCCCTCGTCCACACGGCATATGCGCCTTGGCGGTCCAGGTGGCTCGGCAGCGAAGGGATTCGGCGCATGGATATTGGCGTTTCCTTGCAGCAGGTTTGGCGTGGCTAGTAGCGTGGTGGGCGGGGCCGTGGGCTGTGGGTGCGCCCGAGTCCATGCCAGCTTGGCAGCAGCGGCAGTTTTGAGGACCACTTCCGGCCGTGGTAACGTTACTTCCCAAACGGCCCTGTTCCGTGCTCTCCAAATATTGTAAAGTATTGCTACTGCATAGAATATCCCATCAGAGTCTAGAACATTTAGAAGTTCATCAAACCAAACATAAAAAAATATTTGTGATTATATTTGGAATTGTGAGGTTAGATTTATCCCAAATGTTCCTTGCAAAATCACACAACACCAAAGCATGCATTGTGTCTTCTTGAGATAATCCACACATGGCACATCGTGGATCCACATCCACCCTCTTTATAAGCAAGTTTGCAGTAGTAGGAAATATATCACTAATGGCTCTCCATAGAAACATTCTCCATTTTGGGGGGATTTTTAACTTCCATAGGGATAACCATTTTGTAAATACCCCATTGGTGTGTTGATAATTTCCCACTACTTGCTTATATCCACTTTTAACAGAATACTCTCCTCTTGGATCCCCATGCCAGTACCAAGTATCATCATATTCCGGGGAGATGGGTACTTTCATAATTTCCGCCACATCATTGGGTTGAAATAAATCAGTTAAGATTGAGGGATCCCAGACACCAGTTTGCTGGTCTATCAAACCTGCCACCTTGGCTTCCTTCAACTGTATTGGCATTTCTGTTTGTATCATTGGGTCATGGTCATTCGTAGTCAAGGGTGGGTCCATATGAATGTAGATTCCCCATTACCAATTCTGCGCCTGACCCCACCACAAATAATACTCTTTGCTGCTATGATGCTGCGCCAGTAGAAACTGGGATTATTTCCCACCTGTGCATCAAAGAAAGGTCCTTTCAGAAAATACCGGGCCTTATACACACGTGCCACCAGAGAGTCAGGCTTAGTCAACATTCGCCACGCCTGCTTTCCTAGCATTGCTAGATTAAATGCACGCAAATCTTTAAATCTCAGCCCACCATATTTCTTCGGGACACATAACTTATCCCATGCCTTCCAATGTATTCGCCTGTCAGTTCCAGAATCCCACCAGTAACGATTCATCGTCCTTTCTATCGCCGTACACATTGATACAGGTAACAAGAAAACACTCATTGAAAACGTAGGCATAGATTGTGCTACAGTTTTCAAAAGAATTTCTTTCCCTGCCTGTGATAGTAGTTTTTTATTCCATGACCCAATCCTTTGACGGATTTTATCCTCCACATACGCAAAAACTGCTTTCTTGTGTCTTCCAATAAAAGAGGGGAGTCCCAAATACTTGCCAAAATTCGGTGCCTGTGCCACTCTCAGAATCTGAGCCACACTTTGTCTATCCTCGTTACTAGTATTTCTGCTGTAGCAAATACTCGACTTATGATAATTTACTGCCTGTCCAGATAAATTCTCATAAACAGATAGGCACTTTTTAACCTCAGTTGCTTCCTCCGCCTTGGCCTTAAAAAACAGTAAACTATCATCTGCAAAAAAAAGTGAGAAATCGGGGGGCTCCTCTTAATGAGAATTCAATTCTTGATTAGTTGTAACTGAACGCGAATACAATTAGATAAAATGCTAAGTTGACGTGAAACTCTCCTAACTAATAGAGAGCTCAGGTCAACACAAACTAAACCACATAAATAAAGAAATATAAAACTATACATTATAACACTTATTAACACACCCCCTCAAGCTCAAGGGTGGTGCGAGACAACATTGAGCTTGTCTCGAAGAAGAGTGAACCTGGGCCCTGTCAGTGGTTTAGTCAAGATATCCGCAAGCTGGTCCTTCGTAGACACAAAGTTGACGACGAAGTCTCCAGAGGCCACCTTATCTCGAACAAAGTGGTAATCAATCTCGACGTGTTTCGTCCTTGCATGGAACACGGGATTGGCACACAGGTAGGTGGCGCCGAGGTTGTCGCACCAAAGAGTAGCTGGCTCGGAGGAGTGGAGTCCTAGTTCACGAAGCAGTGACACAACCCAAGTAACCTCTGCTGAAACATCCGCTAGAGCCTTGTACTCAGCTTCTGTAGAGGACCGAGCTACCGTACGTTGCTTTCTAGATAACCAGGATATCAAATTAGACCCAAGAAACACTGCATAGCCACTGGTGCTCTTCCTGTCAATCGGACAACCTGCCCAGTCGGAGTCTGAGAAAGCATGTATGGCTGTCGATGTGGACGAAGTGATACACAAGCCGTAACTGATAGTCCCCTTTATATAGCGCAACACTCGTTTAGCCATGGCCCAATTGTCATCGGTCGGTGAGTGCATGAACTGACACAGTCGGTTCACCGCGTAGGACAGATCCGGTCGTGTGATCGTCAAGTACTGTAGTGCCCCGACAATCCGCTGATAGTGTGTTGGGTTATCGTAGGGATTTGCTGTAGGAACGGCTGATGTGGTGACTGACGCCGGTGTGGTAAGAGACTTGCAGTCAAGCATGCCAGCACGGTTCAAGAGGTCCGTCATGTATCGCCGTTGAGAGAGAATAAACCGTGTAGGTGTCGATATGGTTTCGATTCCCAAAAAGAAGCCCGGTGCGCCCAAGTCTCGGATCTTGAAGGTAGAGGCTAGTCACTGTAGCAAGGTGTTGATTAACTGAGCATCATTCCCCATCATGATGATGTCATCAACATAAACTAGCAAGAACACCCGAGACGTGCCTGTCGTGTAATGGAACAAAGAGACATCCGTCTTTGACGCAGAAAACCCTGCA